CCCCGCCCCCCGTGACTCAGTTTCCCCAGCTGGGGCTGTCCGTGTCACCCGGATGGGAACCGGAGCGGTCACATCCTTCCTTCCTCTCACCTCTGTGATGGGCACAGCTGCAGGAAAACCCCCCAGAATCGCGGGATTATTAACGACCCCCCAAATTTCGGGGTGAGGCGGCGCTGTGTCCCCCCAGCCCCGGGCAGGATGTGGCCGCGTCCCCCCCGTGGCTCCCGGTTTAATCCCTGACGTCAGCCCGGGAGATGGAGCCGGCAGCTGGCAGCCAGCGGGACCACGGCACTGCCCGGCCACCCCCCAGCCCTGGGGACCCCTGCCCGGCCCCCCAGATCCTCCCGCTCCACTTCTCCCCGTGCCACACCTTCACGTTTGCAAACGGGCAAAAACCCCCGGGGCTGACCCCGCTTGTGTTGATGGGTGTAGGTCCTACCCCATGGATTTGGGGGTGCATCCCCCCGTGGTTCGGGATTAGTGGGGTGGGCGATGTTTTGTGCCCACACCCGGGGGTCCCGGAGCGGGTGGACCCCAAATGAAGAGAGTTGTGCCCGTTCTCAGCCCCCGGCCGTGGGACGAGACCCCGGCCCCGCTGCACCCGAGCCCACCCACGGGAGGGGATCTGCCAGATGGGGGGCACAGAGCCCCTCCCTGTGTGCCAGTCTGAGGGGCTGCCCCTGTAGTGGGGATCCACACTGACCCCAGAAGGGGGTTTGTGCCCCACCAGCCCTATAGTGGAGGGTTCATGACCCACCAGCCCTATAGCAGGGGTTTTGTGCCCCACCAATCCTACAGTGGGGATCTTGTGCCCCACCGATCCTATAGCAGGGGTTTTGTGCCCCACGGATCCTATAGCAGGGGTTTTGTGCCCCACCGATCCTATAGCAGGGGTTTTGTGCCCCATGGATCCTATAGCAGGGGTTTTGTGCCCCACCGATCCTATAGCAGGGGTTTTGTGCCCCACGGATCCTATAGCAGGGGTTTCTCTGCCCACCAGCCCTATAGTGCAGGGTCCATGCCTTACCAGCCCTATAACAGGGGTTTATGCTCACTGACCCTATAGTGGGACATCTGCGCCCACCAGCCCTATGGTGGTTGGTCTGTGCCCCACTGACCCTATAGGGGGGGTTCTGTGCCCACCAGCCCTGTAACTGGGGGGTCCACACCCCACCAGCCCTATAGTGGAAGGTCTGTACCTACCAATCCTATAACAGGGGGTCTGTGCCCCACCGACCCTATAGGGGTGTTCTGTGCCCACCGGCCCTATAGTGGGGGGGTCTGTGCCCCACCAGCTCTGTAACGGGGGTCTCTGCCCCACCGGCCCTACAGGGGGGTTCTGGACCCCATCGACCCTATAGCAGAGCGTCCACGCCCCACTGACCCCTCCCCTCTGTGCCGGCAGGTGCGGGAGATCCTGGGCTGCTGCTCCTGCCCCTCGCAGTTCCCCATGGTCAAGGTCTCGGAGGGGAAGTACAAAGTGGGCGACTCCAACACGCTCATCTTCGTCCGAGTAAGAGCCTCCCTCACCCCACTGTCCCCCCCATTACCCCGGGACCCCCCACCCTCCTCCTTCCCCCGCTCCCAGACGAGCTGGGTGGGGTCCAGAGCTGCATTTCCTGCCCACGCCGGGGTCCCGGGGGGCTCCTGGTGTTTTTGGGGAGCGGGCAGGGTGACAGCGCTGCCCGCAGGTGCTGAGGAGTCACGTCATGGTGCGGGTGGGCGGCGGCTGGGACACACTGGAACATTACCTGGACAAGCACGACCCGTGTCGCTGTGCTGCCCTCGGTGAGTGTCCGGGACCCCCCTCGGCACGGCCCTGGCTCCTGCCTTGCTCTGGCCTTCCTTCCATTCCCTGGTTCTCCACGGGTTCCGTTCCCGTGGGGCTCCCTTCTCTGGTTCTCCCTGGGGCCCCTTTCCCTGGTTCTCTGTGGGGCTCCGTTCCCTGATTTTCTGTGGGGTTCTGTTCCCTCTTTCCCCCTGGGGCTCCGTTCCCTGCCTCTCTGTAGGGTTCCCTTCCCTAATATTCCATGGGTTGCTCTCCCTGATTGTCCGTGGGGCTCCCTTCCCTGTGGCCGGGCTCCACTCATCCGGCTGGAAGGGGGAAAAGGGGAGTGAAAAACCCCCAAATTCCCGGGGTGTTCATCGCCTCCGGAATCCCCCAGCTGGAAAATGAGGGGAAGGGGAAGGGGAAGGGGAAGGGGAAGGGGAAGGGAAGGGAAGGGAAGGGAAGGGAAGGGAAGGGGAGGGGAGGGAAGGTGCTGAGCGCTGCCCCCGCTGACCTCCCCCCTCTCCCTTCCAGCTCACCGCCTGCCCCAGCCCCGCACCCCGGGCATGTCCCCCCAAAAAGCAGCCCCCGGCACCTCCTCGTCCCGCGCCTCCAGCCCCAGCACCCCCCGGCGCCCCCGGCCCGCCGGGCCCCCCCCGGCCGGGGCGGAGCGGGGTCCCCAGCCCCGGGGGGACGCCCCGAAGCCCCTCAAGCAGGAGGGTTTGCCCCCCCGAGGGGCTGCAGCCCCCCGCTCCGGCTCTGGCAGCCCCTCCAGGAGCCCCGCGGAGCCGCGGGGAGCGCTCAGGTACGGCCCCCCCGGGGGGACCCCAAAACCGCGCCCAGACCCCGCGGAGAGGACGGGCAGGGATGGGGGAATGGGGGCTGGGGGCGTTAATGGGGAAACCATCGGGGGCACTGGGGTGGAATGGGGTAACTGGGCTGAACCGGGGGATGCAGCGGGGAACTCTGGGGAAATCATGGGGGACAGTGGGGAGGGCAGTGAGGGGGAGATGGAATCACGGGGGGCAGAGGGAGGGTGAAATTAGGAGCAAAAGGGGGAAATTATTGGGGGAAAATGGGGCAAGAAGGAGAGGTACTGAGGGGGCAGTGGGGGCGAATTTGGGGTGAAATGGGGGTGCAGTTGGGGAAGGCAGTGGAGGGGAAATGGAGGATGACAATGGGGGTTCGGTGTGGGGCCATGGGGACAGATAATGGGGCACTGGGAGGTGGTGGGTGGTGGAATGGGGGTCGGTGGGGGCAGTGGGGAAAGCGTTGGGGGTCAGTGAAGGGAAATAGTGGGGGGCAGCAGGGGGAGGGAAGGGGAATGGGGTGTGTGATGGGGGATATGGGATTTCATGGGGTTCACTGGGGTGCGGTGGGGGACAAGGGGGAATGGGGGAGGGAATGAAGGGGCAACAGGGGAAGTGGGGGTACGGTGGGGTGTGAAATGGAGGGGGATGGGATCGGCAGCGGGGGGAATGTGGGGTGCCATGGTGGAGTTCAGAGGAGGGAGACAATGGGTGTGCACTGGGGGAGAAATGGGGTGCAGTGGAGGAAATATGGGGTGCAGTGGGTGGGGCTGAGGGGGAGAAGTGGGGAGAAAATGAGGGTGGAATGGGAGGATTTAGTGGGGGTTCAGTGGAGGGGGAAAATGGGGGACAG